ATAAAGAATGATAAATTACATTCATTCATAAGAAAATGGATACATACTGAGGATATACCCCTAAGTGAAATAAGTAAGTCACACGTGTAAATACTGAATAGTTTCTCTGGTGTGACAAACTATAATAATACATAAGATCCTAATGAGATAAGTGACAATGTGAAATAGGAAGAAAAGGGCTAAAGGTGTAGGGGAAGTGGGAAGGGTAGGGGAATGGTAATAAGGGAAAAGAAAAAATATGAGAAAATGAAAAAATGGAAATAAAGTGTTTGTAAATGGGGAGGGGAGGAGGGGGTGAAGGGAGGGCAGGGACAAGGGGAAAAAATGAGAATCAAGACCTGTCATGTAAAGGTATAAGATCCCAATAATGAATATAACTGTACTGTATACCTAAAATGTACCAATAAACTCAATGAGAGGGAAAAAAAAAAGAAAGAAAAAGAAAATCCAACAGCCAATATACTAAATGGTCAAAAACTGAAATCCTTCACACTAAAATCAGGAATAAGACAAGGATGTTCACTATCACCACTCCTGTTCAATATAGTTCTGGAAACATTAGCCACAGCGATTAGACAAGAGAAAGAAATAAGAGGAATAAAGATAGGAAATGAAGAAGTCAAATTGTCATTATTTGCAGATGACATGATACTCTACATAAAAGACCACAAGAACTCCACCAAAAGTCTTCTAGACTTCATAACCAAATTCAGCAAAGTAGCTGGATACAAGTTCAACACACAAAAACCAACAGCTTTCCTGTACACGAAAAACAGACTCACTGAGAGAGAAATGGGGAAAACAATTCCTTTTACACTAGCATCCAAAAAACAAATACCTAGGAATCAATCTAATGAAAGAAATCAAAGACCTCTACTCTGAAAACTACAGCACTCTTAAGAAAGAGACTGAAGAGGTTATCAGAAAATGGAAAGAATCCCCCCGAAAAAAAGAAAAGCAAGAAAATGGAAAGATACCCCTTGCTCCTCAGTAGGAACAATCAACATAGTGAAAATAGCCATGCTTCCAAAACTGCTATTTAGATTCAGTGCAATCCCAGTTGAAATTAAAGAGCATACTTCACCAACCTTGAGGAAACAATCCAAAAATTCATTTGGATTGAGAAGAGACCTAGAAGAGCAGTAGCAATTCTAGGCAATAAAAACAAGATGGTGGGTATCACAATTCCCAACTTGAAACTATACTACAAAGCTACTGTGATAAAAATAGCATGATGCTGGCAAAGAAACAGACCTGAGGACCAGTGGAATGCAGAAACAGCACCAGACACACTCAGCCATCTCATCTTCTACAAAGAAGCCAAACACCCTCCCTGGAGGAAAGCCTGCTACATAAATGGTGCTGGAAAAACTGGGTTTCAACTTGCTAAAGCTTAAAACTAGACCTATATCTCTCACCACACACCAAACTAAAATCAAAATGGATTAAAGTTTGAAATATTAAAACAGAAACACTAAACCGGCTGGAAGAGAGGTTAGGTAGAATTCTTGGTATAGGAAAAGATTTTATGAACAAAACCTCAGTTGCCCATGAACTAGCACAAACAATCAGTAAGTAGGATGTATTCTTCTTAAGAAAGCTTCTGCACAGCAAGAAAAATAGTCAACAGTATAAAGAGAGGACTCACAATGTGGGAAAAAACTTTTCACTACCTGCTCCTCAGACAAAGGTCTACTATCTAGAATATATAAAGAACTTAAAAAATCAGATTTCCCAAATTTAAAAGCACAATCCAAAAATGGGCATCTGAAATGAATAGACATTTCTCAAAGGAGTAGAGATAGCAAATAAACATGAAAAATGTTCAACATCAGTGTTTATTTGAGAGATGCAAATGAAAACACCACTGAAGTACCACTGCACCCCAGAAAGAATGGCTGCTATCATGAAATCAACCAATAACCAATGCTAGCGGTGCTGTGGGGAAAGAGGAATCCTGCATCACTGCTGGTGGGAGTGCAGACTGGTGCAACCACTGTGGAAATCAGTATCTTTGCGATACCTCAAAGAACTAGGAGTGTAGGTCCCATTTGGCCCAACTGTTTCTGTGCTGGGTATCTTCCCCAAAGAATTAAAAGAATCATACCACAGTGATATATGTGCACCCATGTTCAGAGCAGCACAATTTGTGATAGCTAAAAACTGGAAGCATCCCAACTATCCATCAATGGGAGAATGGATAAAGAAAATGTTTTTTTAATAAAATGAAGTATTACTCAGACATAAAGAAAGAGAAATTAGAGACATTTATAGCTAAATGAATGCACATTGAGGTGATACTCTTAAGTGAAATAAATAGGATACATATGTGTAAATACCGAATAGTTTCTCTAGTGTGAGAAACTGAAAGTGTAAATAAGGACTAAAAGGCAAATAGGAAGAAAGGGTGCAAAGGAGAAGGGGAAGGGGAAAGAGGAAAAATAGGAAGGGAATTAATATGAGAAAAAGAAAAAATGCAAACAAATTCTTTGTAGATCGCGACGGGTGGAGAGGTTGAAGGGAGGACAGGGGAATGGTGAAAAAAATAAGAACCAAGATGGGTTGTGTAAAGGTACAAATTTCCAATGATGAATGTCATTATATTATATACCTTAAATGTGCCAATAAAATTAAATTTTAAAAGAATTCACAATGTTTTCATTTTTGTTCAATAATTTTGTTCAAAAAATATGAAGACCATAGAATATGTTTATGAAAATATAGATTTAAAACTGGAAAGGAGAAAGTTAGTACACAAGGGGACAATTCAAAAATATTTCATTTCGATACCAGGTACAAATCAAAGAAAATACAAGTTATTTGCTATAAATGTAAAATCTATGTTGTTATGGCTTGTGTCTAGATGTCCCCACAAAGCCTCATGCTAGTCATAGGTGGGGCTTTCGGTTGTGGCTGGATCTAGAGTGTGTGATGTTGGTTTTGTTTTTTGTTGTCGTTGTTGTTGTTGTCGTTTGAGACAGGGTCTCACTATGTAGTTGAGACTGACCTGGAACTCACTATGTAGCCCGGGCTGGTCTCGAACTCACAGTGATCCTCCTGCCTCAGCCTCCCAAGTGATGGGATTACAGGTGTGTGCCACCATGCCTGGCTTAGAATGTGTGATGTTGGAATTAAAAATGTGATGCTAGGACTGATTCATGTTGTGATGCTATACTTGAGGATACCCACTCTGAGCATGAGTGCCACCTGCCTAAGAGTGAGTAGCCTGGAAAGAATACAAGCGACAGAAAAAGGAATGCTGTTGTTGCTTGCCCCTTTCTGCTGATCACGTGCTGCTTTGCTGCTTTGCTGCCTTCCACCTGCCAAGAACTCTTTCTCCGCTGCGAAGCCCCTCTGCCTCATCACCCTGTCTTGGAGCCAGCCAACTATGGACTGAAACTTCTACAAACTTTGGACCAAAATAAGAGTTTCCTCTTTTAACTTTGGGTTTTGGGAATTTTGTCTGAGCAAAGACAAACGTATCTAGGATATATGTTTAGGCCAAAGAGTAAAGATACTGATAATACCAATAGCTAACATTTATTGGAGGGTTACTATGTATTATGTCTTCAAATGCATAGTATTCTTAACTTCTTAGCAACTACATCATAATGAGAATTATGACCATTATAATTCACAAATGAAGAGGCCAAGGCTTCAAAGAAACTAAGCAACCTTTGTAAGTTGTACAGTTAGTCAGTAGTAGAATCAGGACTTAAATCCGAGTCTTAACACTAGACCTTGTGATTTGAACCACTTTGCTATACTTATCAATGCAAAAAGGACAGCTATGTGGTACAGCCCTAACATTTCAAATTTTTCTTGTAAACATCTAAGAAAAAGCTTTCAATATTGCATAGTAGCCAATCAGCAACATTATCTTTTTTCCATGATATTGAAAATTTAGAAGATGATAGTTGAATTCAAATATTTTATGAATCAATGAAATCTATTTAATAAAAAACAAAAACCTAGGACTACAGTTTAAATTGATATTAAGAGCTTTATTCAAAACATGAATATTTTTCTGTGTTGGGACCACTCAGCTACGGAACAAATCATCTTGTACAGGAGTGAGTTTCTTTCCAGAATTTCTCAACATCACCAGAGAAGGGGACCTGAACTGAGAGAAATCAACTGGTGACTTCTCAGACTTCTAATTTTAAGATTTAATCAAGAAAAGGCTTAAAATATTAAAGGGTGTGAAAAGGAATTCCTGGGAATCACTAACTCATAATTATAAATTTAAAAAAAAGTCTAAAGTTTAATTCTTTTACTCTAAATCTGTTAGAAATGTGTGAAATAAAGCAGTTCACTTATCCTCGGAGCATTTCTTGGAAACAGGGAAGACAATGACATCATCATTTTATTGACTAGAAAACCAAATAATTCCATGAGGAATAACACGACAGGGAAGTGGGAGATCAGGTTCTGTACCTGGTGACCTTCCTATGACACCAGTGTTTTCCCAGCACTAATTCTATCAACAGATGTTGTCAAGTCTTTTATAAGTTAAAAAAAAATCATTTTAAGCCCAGCGTGGTGGCACACACCTGTAATCCAAACACTGTGGAAGTTGAGATAGGAGAGTTGCAAGTTCAAGTCCAGCCTGAGCAACTAACACTTCATGAGATTCTATCTCAAAATAAAAAATAAGAGCTGAGTATGTAGCTCCTTGAGAAGACATGGGTTCAGTCTCCAGTAACACAAGTAATAAAATAATAATGATGAATTTTAATTCTGCCTTTATGTGTGTAAGCATATAACATTTGTAAGAAAAACACTTAAAAAAAACCTTATTGGGACTTTCAACTCCAAAAAGAAAGACCGAAAGTCAATATTTATCTAAGGCTTTCAGTCATTCAACACCACTTTGTCAAACATTTAATCACATGATTCTGATCTCCACCCACAGGCTTCTGCGAAAATTCCCTGGCAGCTAGTAAACAGGAGTCATGTTTAAATATAACCCTGGCAAAGGCCATCCTGGGACGTTGGTGCTGGCACAGCCTGACATAATAAAGGCTCTTTGTCCTGGAATCCAGGGTCAAGTGCTAGGCTGGCTCCGCTGCTGGTAAGTCATGTGACCGCGGGCAAGTCTGGTAGCCACTTTGCACCTCAGCTTCCTACTTCTAAATGCTACTTGTAAAGAGCGTGGACTACACTCGTCTTCGGAGCTTCTTCCAACTTTTAATATCCCTAAATCATTGCTCACCAAGAACTTCGGTTTACTTATGAAGTCATTTCCTTTTGCACAGCTCAAGATATGGCTTAGTCTTTTTATTTTTGAAACAGGGTCTCCCTATTTAGTTCAAGCAGGTCTTGAACTCTCTGTGTAGACCACGCTGGCCTCAAACTCATAACCTCAGCATCCTGAGTGTTGCCATTATGGGTGTGTGTGACTATGCCCAGCCTTAGCTCTTAATTCCATTGATTTTTAATGTTTTATATCTTGGTCATCTCATTAGGGACCTCATATGTGTACATAGTTTGAACATTTTAATCTAATAATTTAGCCACACATTTTTGTGTTGTTGTTGTCAGAATTTGGGGTAAAATTTTTTTTAAAAGGAGTATACCTTTGTAACTTTTCAATTATATATGTATTTTGGTCTTGCAATATACTCATCCACACAAAAATTTGTACATTTGTTTATCTGTTTGTTTTTCTGGTATTGAGTTCAATCCCCAATCTTTTTTTAACTTTTTATTACTACACAAGTTCTCATTAAATTCTTATATTGCCCATTTTGGACTCAAACTTTCAGTCCTCCTGCCTCAGCCTCCCAGAGTGCAAGGACTAAAACCAGACTAAATGCAGTAATGTCAAAATATGCTGTCATACAAGGGACTGTTGGGGGATTTAACACTAACACCAAATTTCTTTCTTTCTTTTCTTTGTTTTGGGGGTTTGTTTTGTTTGGGGGGTTTTGTTTTTTGAGACAGGGTCTTGCTATATAGTTTAGGCTGGCTTTGAACTCACTATGTAATCCAGGCTGGCCTTGAACTTGCAAAGTGGCCTCAGTCTCCCAAGTGCTGGGATTACAGGCATGCGCCACCCTACCCAGGCATTTAAAATTTTTTTCTTATTAGTACATGTTTGCAGTTCATGCAGTTTACAATCATTTGAGGAGTGGTTACATGTACAGGCCACAGCTTGTTTCTTTTTTAAATTTTCTTCCCCTTCTTTTTCTCCTCCCTCCTCCTCCAATTCCTTATCCCATTTTTCATTCTTGGTGATACCGTTATCTTACTGAGCTCATGTTATGGCATATAATGTTTACATTAATTGAGGTTATTAGGTTCCTGTACATGGTATATCTTTATTCTACTTATTTCCCCTTCCCCTCCTCCTCACCCCTCATGCTTTTTTCCTCAGATCACTTCCCTACTGCAAGAGATCCATCTCCTCGGTCCTTTCTGTTATGGCTTGTGTCTAGATGGCCCCCCAAAGCCTTATGCAGTCTAGGTGAGGCTTTTTCAGAGGTGGCTGGATCTAGAGTGTGTGACTGATTCATGGTGTGATGCTGGGATAAAGGGTGTGTGATTACTAAATTAGCCTGCTGATTGGTTTGGCATCTACCCTAAGCAGGGTAAGGATAGCCTAGATAGAACATAAAAGGGACAGAAAGAAGCTGTTATTGCTTGCTTGCTTTTGCTGTCTTCTGACTACCCTGAATAGTTTCTCCTCTGCGATGCCCATCTGTCATGCCACCCTTCCCTAGAGCCAGCCAATTATGACTTGAAACCTCTGGAAAGAGTGAGCTAAATAAACCTTTCTTCCTTTAACTTTGGGTGTTGGATGTTTTGTCTCAGCAAATGGAAAATAACTAAGACACCTTCTATCACCCTTATTATTTTCTTTCTTTGTACTTTGCCTCACTCAAATGAGAGATACTATACGGTGTTTAAGCTTGTGTGTCTGGTTTATTTCACTCAATATCATATTTTCCTGGTGCATCCAATTTCCTACAAATGTCTCAAATCTTTCATTCTTTATAGCAGAGTAGTATTCCATTATACTATACAGATACCACATTTTTTTGTCCAATCATCTGTTGATTGGTATTCAGGCTATTTCCAGGATTTAGCTATTATGAGCTGTGTTACTATAAACATCAGTATGCATGTATCTTTGTAGTATGATGTCTTAAGTTCTTTGGAAGACACCTAGCAGAGAGATTGCTGGGTCATATGGAATTTCTAATTCCAGTTCTTTGAGAAATCTCCATACTGATGTCCATAATGGTCGTAACTAGCATAACATTGTTCCCACCAACAATGAAGGAAGTTTCCCTTTTCACCACCACCTCACCAGCATTTGTTATCGTTTTTTTTTTCTTAATGATTGCTATTCTTTTCAGAGTGAGATGAGCATTTGTTATTGTTTTTTTTTTCTTAATGATTGCTATTCTTTTCAGAGTGAGATGGAATCTTAGCATTGTTTTAATTTACATATTTCTGATGGCCAAAGTTGTGAGCATTATATATATATTTTTTTAACCATTTGTATTTCTATGTGAAGTATCTGTTCATTTCTCTTGACTATTTCTTGACTGGATCTTTAATTTTAGGTGGTTCAAATTTTTTTAAGTTCTTTGTATAGCCTAGATATTAGTCCTCTAACATCTAGGAATAGCAGGCAAAATTTTTTCCCATTCTACAGGTTGTTTTTTCACTCCACTGATTGTTTCTTTTGCTGTAAAGAAGCTTTTCAGATTGATATAATTCCATTTGTTCATTCTTGCTGTTATTTCTTGTGTAGCTGACATTCTGTTTGGAAACTCTTTTCTTACACCTATGTCTTCAAGTGTTTTACCTAATTTATCTTTCAGTAGGCTTAATATTTGTCTTAATGTTTAGATCCTTGATCCACTTTGATTTTAATTTAGTGTATGGTAAAAGATAAGGGTCCAACTTCAATCAGAACAGATAACCAGTTTTACCAGCACTACTTGTTGAATAGGCTATCTTTCCAACACAGACTTTTGGCCCCTTTGTTAAAGATTAAACAGCTGAATCTGTCTGGGGAAGTTTCTGCAACCTCAATTCTATGATTCCATTTTTGTTCCAGTACCTTGCCATTTTTATCACTATCAGTTTGTAGAACTGCTTCAAGTCAGGTATTGCTATGCCTCCTGCTTTTCTCTTATTGCCCAAAGTTGCTTTTGCTCTTCTGGTTCCATAGAAAGTTTAGGATTGTTTTTCCTAGATCTGCAAAGTTATGCTGCTGGTATTTTGATTTGAACTGCACTTAATATATATAACAGTTTTGAGAGTATGGCTATTTTGACAGTATTGATTCTGCCTATCAGAGAGTGGGGGACATTTTTCTATTCTCTGATGTCTCCTTTAGTCTCGTTTTTCAGAGTACTGTAGTTTTCTTTGTAGAGGTCTTCTTGGTTAGGTTAATTCCTAGATATTTCATTTTTCTTGAAGATACTGTGAATGGTATTATTTTCATAATTTCCTTTTCATCCCATTCATTGTTGGTGTACACAAATGTTAATGATTTTTGCGTGTGGATCTTCAATCCTGCTACATTACTAAAGTTCATTATTAATTCTAAGAGGTTTTTGGTGGAGTTCTTTGGGTCTCCTATGTAAAGTATCATGTCATCTGCATACAATGATAATGTGAATTCTTCCTTTCCTATATGTATCCCTTTTATTTCTTTCTCTTGCCTAATTGCTTTGGCTAATATTTCAAGTACTATGATGAATACAAGAGATGATAATAGACCTCCTTATCTTGATCCTGATTTTAGGGAGAATGCTTTCAGTTTTTCCCCCATGTAGTATGATACTGGCTATTGGTTTGTCATATGTAGGCTTTATCATATTCAGGTATTGTCTCTCTACACCTGTTTTATTCAGGGTTTTTGCCATGAAAGGGTGTTGGATTTTGTCAAAAGCCTTTTCTGCATCTATTGATATGATCATATGGTTTTGGCCTGCTTCTGTTTATGTGATGTATTACATTTTTTGGCTTATGTATGTTGAACCATCCTTGCATCTCTAGGATGAAACTCACTTGATCATGATGATCTTTTTGATAATGTGCTGTATTCCATTTGCTAATATCTTGTTGAGTATTTTTGCATCTGTGATTATGAAAGAGATTGGGCTGTTGTTTTCTTTTTTGGCTGGGTCTTTAATCAGTATTTAGATCAGGATAATACTGGCTTCCATAAATAAGTTTGGGAGCACTCCATTCCTTTCAATTTCTTTGAAGAGCTTGAGGAGTATTGGTGATATAACATCCTTAAAGGTTTTGTAGAATTCAGCAGTGAATCAGATCCTGGGAGTTTTTAGTTGGTAGATATTTTATTACTGTGTCAATTTCATTGTTTATTATTAGGTTGTCACACATATTTCTTTCTTCTTGGGTTAGTTTTAGTCATTTGTATGTGTCTAGGAATCTGTCCATTTCTTCAAAATTTGTTAAATTGTTGGAATATAATTTTTTGAAATAGTTATTACCTTCTGGATTTCCAGTGTCTGTCATGATTTCACCTTTTCCATTTCTAGTTGCACTGATGTGAATCTTTTCTCACCTTCTTTTGGGAAGTCTAGCTAGGGGGAAAGATTAGCTTATCTATTTTATTTATTCTTTCAAGACCCAGGTCTTCAATCCTTTGATTTTTTTTTTCTTTTACTGTTTTTAGTCTCAATTTCATTTATTTCCACTCTCAACTTTATAACTTCCCTCCTTTATTTTGGTTTGGGGAGATGTTCATATTCTTGTACTTATACTCACCTACTGATCTGATCTATTTCTCGGACATATACCTATATACTATATATAATTATATATAATTTATATATAATATATAATCTCCCAGTATGAGCTACCAACTGGTTATTTCATAAGTTCTTCCATTTCCTACATCCCCTTCAGAACACTACCAAACAAGGAGGTAAGTTTCCAGTGAGGTTAATCCCTAGAAAATGATATGAAACAATTTGAATATGTGAAATAAATTAACCTAGATGAAAACAATATGGAGTCATGATCCAATTAGTATTTGGCAACTCCATACCTGAGTATATGCCAACAACTTTGAACTTCTCATTTCTTAAAACAGAAAATCAAGCCCAAAGAAAAGTGCATTCTTCTCACTCATTACATCCAATCCTCCACTAACAAAAATGTTTGATTTTTATTATACAATTAGGGGTTTAAAGTAGGACTTTTTTTTTGAGGAATCCCTCCAAAATTTAATAACCAATAAAGCTACAGTTTTTCTCATTCTGATTTTCTACCATGAACAAAAGTATAAATTAAGATATCAAAATGTTACCACCTTAAAATAATTAAAATGGCCAATTACTTTATAATTTGTTCAATTTATTTGTAAAGTTCATATATAAAGTTTTCTAAGTGCATAGTAAAATATCAGTGTTTCTTGGAGTGAATTTTAACACACATCTATGACAAGGTCTTTTTAAAGGCACTTTGGGCCTGTGGGAAGTCCAAGGATGTTTATTTTCTGCTTTTCTTTACTTGCTGTAAATATTTCAGTCAAAGGAATATACAGAAATGGTTGGATCTTTCCAGATTTAAAAACTTCAGAAGGTAGCTGTTTGCTTTCTTCAGCACCTACCCTATCTGTAATTACCTTAACCTTGATTTCTAATGTTATGCAAGAGGAAGGTACTTTTAGGTACCAACTTTACTCACAGTGGCTCATTTTAATCCTTTGATCCCTTGCCTACATCAATACTGCTTTATGTGTCAAAACGCTCAAAGTTTTGACTCAAAACAACACAACATAAAGACGCACAAGACTGAATCAGCTCGTGAGTCCTCAAAATGAAGTCTTCTATCTCAACCTCATGTCTGCTTGGAGCAGTGAGTCACAGGGTGGGGAAATGAATCACAGCCATCTCCTCAGCGCTTCTGTCGCCTTTATTAATTGTTTCCAAAGAACTGTAGAGATTTGGAATTCAAATGTGCCTAAGTATTAAGATAGACTTTTGCTCCCTTACAACATACCAGAAAACATATCATCACCCATTTTCAAAATAGTGGCCTTATCCAAAAAAAAAAAAAAAAAGTACTGTGAGTTTTCATTTTCAACAAACAAAAGAAAAATAGTTTATCAACTTTGTTTATAGCTTGTGGACTTTGGTCTATTTTTTCTTCTTTTCTCTCATCCCTTTGTTTCACAAAATTCCCTCACTCAATTCTGCCCCCTTGACTTCTTCCTTTCTTCTCTGCCTTGAATCCATGAAGAGGGTGACCCCAAGACAAGACAATAATCCCAGAATGGGCCTGACACTGCATTCCAAATTTAGAAGATCAGGAAAACTGAACATAGAGAACCTGGAAAAACATATAATGGGTTGATGTAGATCCACCCATGTGTTCCAAGTGGGTTAAGTGGCTAAAAGTATAGGCAAGAAATGTTTAAAATCAGCTGTATGAAGTATCCAGTTCCAAAAGGATTTACGTTCTTCTCAGTAGCTTGTTCTCTCCATATTTTTTCTGTTAATCTTTCCAGTGTTCACGATTTCATCAATCCACAATGGTTTTCCTGAGCTTTCGGCAAACCTCATTACTCAGCATATCCAACAAAGAAGATCTGATTATTATCTTTGTCTTTAAAGATAAACAAAATAACAAGAGGAGAAATCCACCAATAGCATATAATATCTTTCAGAAAGGCATATCACTCATTACACTGAAAACCAGAGAAAATTTTTGAAAATCAGATTGAAAATTAGGAAGTCAGCCAGCATGATACAGCTGCACAGTTTAAGGGCCTCACTCTTTCCTGTACTGTCAACAAAGCTCGTGTTCTAATGCTACCTGATGTCTTACGTGGACTTACGTGGAACTTTAAATGATCTGCACATACTGAAGACACAACTTGTAAGTGTAAAACTCAACAGCACTGTCTTCACACCTCACTGTTCCCAAGCAGTGCTCCTATAACAAGACAATGAGATAAACCGTTTTTACTTCTCCCTTGATCAGAACTATGGCTTACTCTGAGGAAAGTAATCAGCCAGCAGGAGAATGTCTCATATGGAACTCGTCACCCCAGTAACTTCAGCCTACAGCCACACTCAGTTCCTTACAAGGGAAAGGGAAACAAACTGTTTTAAAGGCAGGCTTTTAAGGCCTGTTCCAATACTGATAAACCCTGGCATACACAGGCCAGGGTGAGCCCCAACCTGGAGGAGGAATAATGGGATCAGCCCACCTACAGCCAGTTCACCCCAAAGAGCTCCCAGCTCCTCTCTGGAACACAGGAGGACTTTCATGGAAGAGGGGTCCCTTCCATCATTCAGTACTTTATAAAAGGAACAAAGGGCCAGGCATGGTGGCGCACACCTGTAATCCCAGCACTCGAGAGGCTGAGGCAGGAGTATCACTGTGAGTTCGAGACCAGCCTGGGCTACATAGTGATTTCCAGGTCAGTGTCACTGCACAGTGAGACTCTGTCTCAAAAAAACCAAAAAGAAAGAAAGAAAGAAAGAGAAACAAAGGATTAGTCACTGAATTACGCTTCGGAATAAAGCATGCTGGGTTCCCTTAACAATCAAATTACACCTAAACCTTTACATTGGAGGCTTCAAATAACGTTCAGATAAAATTTCAAGGTGGTTCCGGTGTTATCTGATGATATTTTTTCACATCAACATTTCTAGGCAAGTGCGTCTTGTCCTTTACAATCGGTTTTCTTTTGTTTTCTCGTTCCAGGTAACCATCCACTCATTCACCAAATATGTACAGGGGACCTACAAGCTGTCAGGCACTGTTCTTGATTCAGAAAGACAAATGCCAATAAAACCTTGGAATGTGCCTTCTGCTGGGGAGTCGCACAGAGCAGCCAGTGAGATAGTACAGAAGTGCTTCACAGAATGTGGCTTGAAGGAGGAACAGTTCTGGCCTAGGTGTTCAAGGAAGAGGTAACCAGTGTGGGAGGGGTGAGGAGGCGGGGAGGAAGTGGGAGGCAAGATGGAAGTGGTCAAGGTAGTTCCCAGAGCCCACCAGCCTCCTGAGGACTTCAGCTTTTACCCTGAATGAAACAGAGAAGCACAAGAGGGCTTTCAGAGGGGAGGGACTACTCAGATTGAAGTGGCACATGCATCACATGGTGGCTGACCAGACACAGATTGCAGGTTATGGGACACTGAGGACCAGAAATACGGCCATTATCAGGGCAGTGGTGGCATAGGCCAACTGGTGATGAGGGATCAAACACCAGATATCCCCTGAAGGAGAGCCAACCAAAGTCCGTAGGCAATGAGAGAAAGAGAAGATGACTCCAAGATATTCGGCCTGATCAAGTGGAAGGATGAGGAGCAGCCGTGAGATCAGGAGTTCAGTTGGGGATGCTGAGTTGGGCCATGTTAGGCCTCCAGGTAGAGAAGCTGAGGAAGCAGGGACATCAGCCCGTACTTCAGAGAGATCAATGTCAGAGGCATAATTTGAGGTTTAGGGAGGATTTAAATCCATGAGACTGGCCAGGGTTACAAGAGGAGCGAATTTAGTTAGAGAAGACAAGATGCCCAAAGTCCAAAGCCCTGGCCACTTTAGAAGCTGGGAGGCTGGGAGGTGTCAGCACAGGACACAGAAAGAAGAGTGGAATAATTGGAAAATAGAGGCCACTGCAAAGAAAATTCGTTAAGATGAGATCATTCCAAGTGGGGTGGGCCCTGCTCCGACATGAATAGTACAGACATGCACATGTAGGGACGACACCATGTGAACACGGGGACAGAGATCAGAGCAGTGACTCGAGGAAGCCAGAGAATGCCTATAACCATGAGCAGATTCTCCCTCAGAGCCTCAGAGGGCCCAGCCCTGCCCATGCCTTCACCTACCAACCTCCAGGATTGGGCGAGGTGGTTTGTCACAGCAGCCCTGGTAAATTAGGTGCTGAACAGAGGTCACTAGGAAGATGGCAAGATGGGGGGAAGTGGTATGCATGCTTTGTGACCACAGAGGCAAGGGCTATGGGTAACAACCGGTTCCATAGGATTGTGGGGTGATCAAAGGGGAAGGACAAGACTGTGAGGAGAAATAATAGGAAAGTGAGAGGCCAGAGAAATGAAGGCGTGATCCTCATATATATAAAAATTGCCAAGTACTGAGACAAGAGGAGGATCTTGATGGCTGGAAAGGAGCAAAGAGGATGACCTCAGGACACAGATATCAGCAAAATGAGAGGAACAGGTGACATAACCTTACAACATGAGTCATTTTTAAATTAACTTTATTGGTGCATTTTACATATGCATGTTGGTAACATTCGTTATATGGGATTTGTACCTGTATGTGATATATATTGATTCTTCTTTTTTCCCAATCCCATCCCCTCCCTTCAACCCTTTTTCCCTTATTTACAAAAGCTTTATTTCCATTTTTTCTTTTATTATCTTTTTTCCTTTTCCCTTCCTTCCTTTCCCTTTCCACACCTTAGTTCCCTTTCCCATTTGAACAATTTCCTCCTATTTCACAATATCTATTATAAATTTTAGTCCTTATCTACACTTTCAGTTTCTCACAGAGAAACCATGTGATATTTGAACATGTGTTTTGGATTTATTTCATTTAAGAGTATGATTTCAAGGTGAACCCATTTACCTAGAAATGTCTCAAGCTTATCCTTCTTTATAGCTGAGTAGTACTGCATTGTATAAAAGAACCACATCTTCTTTATCCATTAATTGGTTGATGGGCATTTGGGCTGTTTCCAAGATTTAGCTATTACAGACTGTGCTGCTATAGACATGCATGTGCATGGGTATGATACAACGCGCTTAACTCTTTTGGGAAGATACCAAGAAGGGGGAAAAAGTGGGTCAAATGGAACTTTTAGTTTTAGTTGTTTTTGAGGGGGGTTCCTGGTACAGGAAATGGAACTCAGGACTTTGCATTTACCAATCAGGTGGAGCACCAATGAGCTATATCCCTGGCCCACAGTTTTAGTTTTTTGAGGAATCTCCACACTGATTTCCACAGTGGTTGCAGCACTCACACCAACAATGGAGAGGGTTCCTTTTTCCCCACAACCCTGCCAGCATTTGTTACTGGTTGACTTCTTGACAACAGCCATTCTTTCTGAAGGTGGGATCTCAGCATTATATTAATGTGCACCTCTCGAGTGATCAGTGATGTTGAACATTTTTTTCATATACTTATTTGTTGTTTCTACTTCTTCACTGAGAAGTGTCTACTTATTTCAGACGCCCATTTTTGGACTGGGTCTTTGAAGGTGAGGGTCTGATTTTTTTTTTTTTTTTTAGTTATTTATACATTCTAG